TCAGTGCTTCCTCCTATTTCTGACTTCCAGTACTCCTCGTAAGATAGAACCACTGATGTGCATTCCTTCCAGAATGTTCTCTGCATTTATACATTGGTCCCTTTCTCCTTTTTTTCTTTTTTAACCTAATGGTATATCTTGAAGCTCACTTTCTACCTATAAGTAGGTATGTGCTTCATTTTTTTAAAAAAACAATACTTTATTTATTGATTTTACAGAAAGAGAGGAAGGGAAAGAGAGAGAAGCATTGATTGATTTGTTGTTCCACTTATTTATGCATTCATTGGTTGCTTCTTGTATGTGCCCTGACCAGGGATCGAACTTGCAACCTTGACGTATTGGGACGATGCTCTAACCAGTGGAGCTGCCTGGCCAGGTGATCTGCTTCATTCTTTTTGATGAAATATTTATTGTATTGTTGTGTTATTTCAAATAGCATCTGGGTGGCAGGATGCCGGATCCTGGGCTATTAGCCCAGGTGACACCTTCCTGTTACCCGTCTCTGCACAGGGCTCTGGGTGGGTTTCTCTCCCCTTTCTACCCCTATCACGCTTACTCCCAGAAGGTAACCTCAGAACGTGGTGAGATGCTTGTTCACCTTCTGTGTCACTTTCAGAAAGAAGTATTTTCCGCCTGGCTAAGTTAACAGTTATGTTCAGATTCTTGAGGGGACTTGCGGGACAGTGGGATACAGGCAGAGCCCTGGTCCTGAGGCCAGACTCTGGAACCAGACTCTAGACTGGCGCCACCCAGTGGCAGTACCCTGTGAGCCGCACGTGTGATCTTTAACTGCACAGAGGGCTCACCCTACAGCGTAAAAAGCAACAGGTGACTACATTTTCTAACAATTGTGCTTAACCCAATGTATCTAAAACATGGTCAGTTCAACGTGTAATCGATACTGGAAAATTATTGAGATATTTTACGTTCTTTTTTCCCCTACTAGTCTTTGAAATCCAATGTGCGTTTCACTCATACCACAGATCTCAGGGGAACCAGCCGCAGCTCAGGAGTTCAATGGCCACACGTGTATGGCACAGCCTTCGAACCCCCAGAGGACACTGATTCCTGAGTCCTCTGAGCTTCAGTGCTAAACATGGGAAGCTACAGGCAAGCCAAGACAAGCAGATCTTCCTGTTGTAACTTAATTTCCGCATCTGTAAAATGGGGGCAATCAAATGTGACCTTGGTCAGGGTGAGGACGAGGAATATGGTGGCAGAGGAGAGGAATGTGCTTTGGGGAGGAAAAGGAGGGAGGCATGATCTTGAGGGGTTATTGTTGGGACTGGCATTGACCTTGCTGAGCACTCCGAATCCACTCCCCGGGACCCGGCTCCGTCTCTGAACCTCAGGCAGCTCGTCAGCCCTCACATCACAGGGTGCCCATGCCCCGGGCTCAGCCCCAGGCTCGCCCACCGGAAACTCTCAATCACTCCACACTGCCTGTCGCTCTTCCCGCAACTGCAGAAGCGCAGCCCCGGGGTGGGAAGTAGCTTGCCCAAGGTCGCGCAGCGAGACGGTAGTAGCAGACGCTGGCCTATTTTGGCTCCCTGCTTCTCGCTGGCAGTCATTCCTGAAAGTCAGCGCTTCTTTCCTCGCAGCAAGGTAGCTGAAATAAACACACTGAAGCCACTGAACTACTTGAATGAGGCCCGGGTCCAAGTGTTGTTTCCATGGTATATACTCTGGCGGGCACGCACATGTGATTTGTCTAAGATCGCAGCTCCAAGGGGCGGAGGCTGGGTTGTAGTCCCTGCCCTATACCGTGACTGTTGTGAGATTCCTGGGTGTGATTTCAGGCACAGGGCCTGCTTCTAGATGGCACATGATGGACCTTCGGTGAGACTGCAGTGGAATAGAAAGTGGCTAAATTATAAGCCAGAAGCCCAAAACATTACATATTATGTAACAGCAACAGGAAGCCATTTTTTTCCTGAGCATTCACGCCATGCCGTTGCCCAGCACCCGGCATTTGCTGTTCCATTCAATCATCCTGGTTACCCAGGCGGCCGCTGAGTCCTTAATGACCCCATTTTACAGATGAGGAAACTGAGGCTCAGAGAAAATAAAGAACTCACCCAGAAACACAGAGAGAGCTAGAAAGGGCCTTTAAAACCTTCCCTGTGGCCAAAGGGTGACCAGCTCTCCAGGGTGGCCCAGGCCCGAGGAGCCTGCTGGACCCTGGATGTCGGCAAACCGGGTCAAGGGCGTCTCCCTCTAGCAGCTTAATTTATTCGTCTGTAAAACAGGGACCCTCCAGCCTGACACCGGTCAGAGTGAGCCTGAAAGCACGGCCGCAGAGGAAGGCGTGCTTTGGGAAGGGAGAGGAGAGACACGCAGTATTGGAGGGGTGACATCATGACAAGCGCGCAGAACCCGCTCCCTTAGGCCCGGGGCCGCGTTCCCTCCTCTCACTGTCACTCTCACCCTGCGACCGATCCCTGCCCCTCAAGCCCAGCCCCTTTCCAACTCCTTCCGAATTTCACGTGACCTTTCTACGGCCAAGGTCTGAGAAACAGCACCCCCGTTTCCCCAGCACCAGCCAACAGCCCCCTCTGGCTGGGAAGCGGCTGAGAAGAGGGGCCAGGCCGGGAGGTTTGTGGGGTGCTTTGTTTCTTTTCCTCCAGCCCAGCCGGCCGCTGTCCCTTGGTAAAGTCTGGCCTAAGCCGGCCTGCGGGAGAAGGAAGCACGCGACCTCGCGTCCCCCAGGAGCTCCCCTTCAAGCCCCTTTTCTAATTAAAGCCCTCAGCCTTGTGCCCAGTGTGGACACTCCAGAGTGATCCGGAGCTGCCAGCTGCCTCTGCCTCCACTGTCACAGTGAACGTCCTGGTTTTGGTACAGGAAAGAAATGGGGCTCCAAGAGTTTAGGAAGCAAGGGGGCCGGGTGGACTGACCCTCCCCCACATGAGGAGGGACACTCGGCTCTGGATGGTTTCTCTGCACGCCAGAACCTCAGCCGCAAGATGCTGGCAGACGCTCAGCCGGGTGATACACGGGACGCACCCGCTCACACACGCAGCAGAGAAATGACACAGCGTGAGGGCGATGCATGAATACACAGAGAGAAACACACACACGGAGCAACACCAGATGGAGAGCGCAGCCCGGGCTGGGCTGGGTAGTCATTACTCCCTCACTCACACGAAGGGACTGGCGAGTTACGTAATGCAAGCCGCGCAAGGGGGATGCTGGACTTGCTAACCACCCCCAGGGGACCCAGGAGGTGGCGCCTCCTTCTCCTGGGGGGGGGTGTCTGCACCCACCTCCTGCTCTCAGAGGCAGCAGGAGCTTGTCCGCTGCCTCAGCCCTGGGGTGACCCCGGGAAACCGCTAAAAGGGAAACGAGGGAGTGAGTGTCAGTTTGTCAGTAGTGGCAGATGGGTGCTCTCTCTCTGAGCTAAGGCGCGGTGAAGATGCCGGCAGAGGGGGTGCCAGGACACAGATGGAACTGGGGATAGGAAAGACATGGACGGGTTCTGTGCTGTCCCAAACCTGTCCCCAATCCACCTGCAGCCATAGACCACCTGCCCCCACCCAGACGCGTAAGACACACATCACTGCCTGCCGCATACATGCCACAGGTGTGCCCACCGCACCTGGGCCATAGCCTCCTGTTGGCCTTTGGTACCCCGACCACACCTCATTTCCCTGAGCCTGGGGGAGCTGGTGGGAGTTGTAAAAATAACTCGAAGAGAAATTTTTTAAACCTAGAATGTAAGTTTAAAAGCTCAGGCTTAAAAGCTGGACCAATCTGAGTTCCAATCCTCTGTCTGCCATCATTCTCTACTTGACCTTGGACAGGTCACTGACCCTTCCCTACTTTCGGTCTTCTTGCCGGTGGAAGGGTTACTCTGCAGATTAAAAAGAAAAAACATACATTAAGAGTGTCTGTGCTCATTAAGTGTCTGCTATGATTAATCTTCTGGGAATTTTCTTCTTTCAACAAACGCTCATTGAGCACCTGCTATGGGGGTACACGGTCCACCCTTCCTAACATTTCTCTCTTAGGCTCTCCGACAGCCTGTGGAGTACGTGTGTCCTCCAGAGTTTGCCATGGGCCTGGATCTTTGGTGTTGATAATACCCAGTTTGGTTTGTAATGTGGCCGAATCTGTCCTTTTGAACCTGGAACAAGTCGACAATGACGAGAGTCATAAAGGCCCACGGACGTCTCTCATCTGCAGTCCCACAGAAGGCTGTGTCCCCTTCCAGGGCTTTGTTGTGGGGGCTTTGGGAGTGGCCGGAGTGGAGAGCCCCAAGATCCGTGGGCTGAGCTCCTGATCTGTGGGTGGAAAATGTGAAACACAGAGAGACAATGGCCACAAGCGTGACAAGTCAGCTTCTCATGGTGGGAGAAAAATAAGAGGGGTCTTACGATTCTTGCTTTTTGATTTCTGGGCTGGCTGACTGCGGTTTCTCCAGGGTTTTGATCACGGAGATAAACCCAGGCAATTTGCAGGTAACTGGGGAGGGAGCTCCTCGAAAACAAAGGGTTTCGTTGCTAGGTTGGCTTCAGAATGCCAGAGCGTCTTACGGCTAGACTTCTGAGTTTTCCATCTTCGTTTTGAAGGTGGTGTCGGGCACCTCACATCAATCTATTTTTCATTGGAGTCTTTGCAGAGTTTTCTACGTACAGTATCATATCATCTGCAAATAATGACAGTTTCACTTCCTCCTTTCCAATTTGGATGACTTATTTCTTCTTTTTGTCTGATCTCTGTGGCTAGAACTTCTAGTACTATGTTGAATAACAGGGGTGAAAGTAGACATCCCTGTCTTGTTTTTGATCTTAAGGGAAATATTTAGTTTTTGCCCTTTGAGTATGGTGTTGGCTCTAGGTTTTTCGTGTATTATGTTGAGGTATGATCTCTCTACTCCCACTTTGCGGAGAATTTTTTTAATCATAAATAGGTGCTGGATTTTATTGGATGTTTTTTCTGCATCTATTGATATGGTCATGTGATTTTCAATCTCTTGTAATTCTCCCTCTCCCCTCCTTCAGCTCAGGGAGCCCCAGATCTCATCTGCACCTTACGGGCTGGCGATGCCCAGAGAATAGTCCACAAGAGCATGCGTCACCTCTAGACACATCCGCCAGCTACTTCTCCTCACAGTCGGCCTGACCTGTTGCTTAGGGACACGTCCCACTGCTTCTCCTGACGTCTGCCTGATCAACATCACTTCCTTAGAGAACAAGGAAGGAAGCAGACGCAAGAAATCATGCCACCGACAGCTGAACAGCGATGAGTGGGTGACACTGAGTGGACGTCAAAGAGAAGCCCAAGAGATTCGCCGCAGCGCCTGCAGTGCCAGCCCCCCAACTCCGTCTCGGCAGAGCCTGAAGCTGGGCTCCTCCTGGTGAAGTCGCCTTAGGCTTGACATTGTCTGAGATCTTCAGACTCTTGCACACTGGACGCCATGGAGAACCACACATTCAGCGTCCAGCAAATCCAACCCAACGTGATTTCTGTCCGCCTCTTCAAGCGCAAAGTGGGGGGCCTGGGGTTCCTGGTGAAGGAGCGGGTGAGCAAGCCCCCTGTGATCATCTCTGACCTGATTCGAGGGGGCGCTGCAGAGCAGAGTGGCCTCATCCAGGCCGGAGACATCATCCTGGCGGCCAACGGCCAGCCGTTGGTGGACCTGAGTTACGACAGTGCTCTGGAGGTGCTCAGGGGCATAGCCTCTGAGACCCACGTGGTCCTCATCCTGCGGGGCCCTGAGGGCTTCACCACGCACCTGGAGACCACCTTTACTGGGGACGGGACCCCCAAGACCATTCGGGTAACACGGCCCCTGGGTCCCCCCACCACTGCCGTCGATCTGTCACACCCGACATCAGCCTGCAAAGAGCAGCCGCTGGCCGTGGACGGGGCCACCGGTCCTGGCAATGGGCCGCAGCATGCCCACGACAATGGACAGGAAGCTGGCTCGCTGTCCCACACCAACGGCCTGGCTCCCAGGCCCCCAGGCCCAGACCCTGCCAAGAAGAATGCTGGGGTCACCCCACAGGGCAGTGGGGAGCACAATGACTTGCTCAAAGAGATAGAGCCTGTGCTGAACCTTCTCACCAGCGGTGACAGAGGGATGAATGGAGGGGGACCGGCCAAGGCAGAGACAAAAGATGCGGAAGTCCAGGCAGACAGGTAAGCCCCACCGGTGTGCGTGTGCACGTGTGCACTGCATGCGAGCGTGTCCTGGAGCTCAGCCCCACAGCCCAGGAGCCAACCTGTGCTGTCCCTGACATCTGTGAGTGGGCGCAGCCACGCCTTCGCCTCTTTCTCTCAAAATTGCAGTTGCAAGAGCAGAAAAGGCTTAGCATCTAGGACACATCTCTTGCCATGAATCCCAGAGTTGTCACTCACGGTCGCTGGTGTCATGTCTTCTCATCTTGATCCCATATGACCCTCCAGCAGCCTCACACAATGAGTGTGTTTGCAACCCACATGTCATGGGCGAGGAGGCTGCGGCTCAAAGTGGAGGGGCCTTTCCCAAGGTCGCCCAGTGTGTGAGGCAGGTGTCAGGGCCCTGGAAGGAGAGCGGAGGGGAGCACTGGGAAGCCCTCAGCCCAAGCCTGTTCTCTCCTGTGCTGGCCAATCCGGGGCAAAGAGGACTCGGAAGGCAGGAGATGGAATCACGGTAGAGAATCGGCCCCGACTCCCCACGCAGGGGTCCTGCTCGAAGTAGGAGGGAGCTGAGGCTAGAACTCGAAGAACTGGGTGCCAGCCTCTCTGTTTGCCAGGTGGGCATGTTTTGTTCCTATGGGGAGGAAAGGTGGCAACACCGTAGGTAATTCTAGCTCTTTCTCTGGGGAGGAATCAGCAGCTGGGCCAGGTGGTCAGAAAATGGCCAGAGAGAGAGAGAGAGAAATTTCTTTCTGCTCCCCCCACACTCTCATTTTCGCTCCAGCACTGACCCTCTGGCCCCCCATGCTACCAGGGTGCGGCCAGGTGGACCCTTCGTATCTATCCCCCTCTACGGAGGGAGACTCAGGTGTGGGCCCTCCCCACTCCCGCCACCAGAAACCATGAGGTTGTCAGATGCGAAGGACTTCAGTGGGGGCCCCATGGCACCACCTCAGGGGAGCAGCCTTTGTTTCCCCGAAGGTGAGGGCGGGGCACGCAGCCTCAGGCACAGCCCAATCTGTTTTCCCAACTTGGGTGGCTGCGCCTGAGCTCTGTGCCCACCCTCATCCATCCCGGCCCTCCCTCTAGTTACTCTGTGAAAACCTTGCACATAGAGTGGTGGTTTGACCCAAAGCGGCAGAAAAAAACTGTTCTGGAGGAGGTAAGATTTGGGAGAAAGCAACCAAGGGCGAATGCAGGGCTCCGCAAAACCCACTAACGTAAGTGGTTCTAAGGATGGGGAATGTTTAATAACGGCCTATGTTTCCCAAGCTCAATGGTTCACACTCATAAGCTCCCTCCCCCGCCGCCATTGTTAAACAAATATTTTGAAAAGCCCCCTTCACTCACCAGAAGCTAATTTGTAGATCAAATAAGCTATGCACACTTTACATTTTTTTAAATCAATATAATGCTCTAAGTATAAAATAAAGGAGACAGAGCATAAAAGCAATTTACAATAAAAAGAACCTATAATTTAATATATTAGGGCTCAGGCATGACTCCACTGCAATGGTTGGATGTTTGCACCTAAACATAGAATCGCTGTAAACACAACTGCGTTGGATGCAGATTGACACAGGTGTGTTGTTTTGGCAACTCGAACGTCGCCAGCAGCGTCGTCGCCTTGGTGATGTGGTTTTCTGAAATGGTGAATAACTCCGGATAAAACGAAGCCTTGTCTGTCTTTGATTTAGCTGTAATAGTACCATGCATGGAAAAGTCAATATATACTTTAAAGCCCTATATAGACACCAGAGCCCATTGTAATCCTGGCTCAGAAATTTAAGCTTTTTTTTTTAATCTGTATAAATGTCCAAAGGTTGTGTGGCAGTCCAAACACTTATTCCTTGTATGTATGGGGGTGTCCCTGTTGTTACACAGTGTTCGCGATGCCAGATGCCACCTCCCTCCCACTGTGACACTCAAAAGTGTCCCCCACAAATTGCCAAACTGCCACGCTGAAGTGCCTCACTAAAAATCTCTGTCCCGTGTCAGGAAAGGGAAACGCAGAGACAGGTGTTTTCGCCGGCATTCTCGGGGCAGACAGGCCGTGGAGAATTCAGGCCCCGTGGAGCATGTGGCTGCCTGGAAATTAGGCCTCCTGCCTGGGGCCTCGCCACCTGAGCTGCGTTTTGGGGGTAGTGTTGGATCTAGGGTCCTGGACACTGGGTGAACAGGTCACAATGAGGCAGGCTGCCTGCCAGGCCTGGAGCGCCACATCCAAGTCACACACCCTGGTCTGGGAGTTATGGGGTCTGAGCGGAGGCCGCTTCTCAGCAGTGCCCCTGACCTTCTGTTCTCTTGGTCTCGTTCCCTTCCTTCCTTCCTTCCCTCTTTCCTTTAGGACAGACTTTTTCAATTTTTCTGCTCCATCTAATCCCTTTCCCTCCTGGAACATCCCTGGTCCTGTTGTCTGGGGGTGCGGGCCCTTACCTCAGCCTCATCCCTTCATCCTGGGGGGAGGTGGCCCTGGCAGGTGGTGGCAGCATGTGAGGGCGTATAAGAAAGAGAAATCCGGGGCCTCCTGTACTTGGGAGCGGTCACTTTAAGATGCTGCATGTCAGGGGATATCCAGGTTATCAGCTTGCTGCCCTGAGGAGGGTTCTAAAGAGGCCAAGGTCTCCGGTCCAGCATCCATCTGGACCAGCCGGTCAGCCTCACCCTGTGCTCTGAAAACTGCTCCTCCACTTGCGGGGCGCTTGGTTACTTACAGATTACCTCCTCGCGGGAATGAGGCTCCCTAAGTAGGACGTGTGGCTTTAGCCACCTTCTATAGACGAGAGAACTGAAGCTCAGAGAGGTGAAGCGACTTGCCCAGGGTCACACAGCACTTCCCTGGTTCTACCTAGAAATCTCACAATGAGTTAAAGAGAAATGAGGCAGCAAAATGTGGCTGGAGGAATGGAAGTCAATTTCAACCCCAGAGAATCAGCTTAACTGAAGGGAGAAGGCCTCCTTCTGCCACAAGCCCGAGTTTTGTTTTTGGTTTTTGGCAGGTTGTTGTAATGTGGTAAATTGGTATACAAGACCATACATATTTCTAACATTATAATATTTGTGTACACTGCACAGTGTTCACCACTGTAAGGCTAATGACCATCCATCACCATAGAATGGATCCTCTGCCATTCGCCCTCCCCTACCCCCTTCCCCTCTGGTAACCACCCACCTGTCCTCTGCATCAGTGAGTTTGTTTTTGTTGTGTTTGCTTGTTTTTCATAGTTCAGATATAAGTGAAATGATACGACATTTGTCTTTCTTCCTCTGACTTCACTTTGCAGAACGCCTTCAAGGCCCATCTATGTTGTTGCAAACGGCCTGAGTTTTGTAATCATCATGTTCAACCTCCGCAGAGCACTCCAGGGGCGCCTGGCCCCAAGCTAAGGTCTTTACATCCAGTAATTCATTTACTCCACATAGCATCCTGTTTTCCTGACGAGGAAACCAAGGCTCAGAGAGGTGCAGTTACTTGTCCCAGATCACACAGCTAGCAAGCAGCAAAGCCAGGGCTTGACTCCAAGCCCACGCTCTTGACCTCTGCTGACTTTGTAGATGGCCCTGCCCTGTTGGCCGCCGTTCACTTGACCACTAGCCATCGGGGTTCTGAGGACATCAGACTATTTGCTCAGAGTCCAAACCCAGGGAAACGCAGGCCGTGGGGTGCCACCTACTAAAGACGCCACCTCTGGAGAGCTGACCTAGACCAGCCAATGGCAGCGTTGACTCCGGGCCGGTCCGTGTCAGAGGCGCTGTCCCTGCTGCACTTGACGTGCCTTGAAGCTTTGAACCATGCTGATGGCATTTTCGGCTCAGGAATTGAAACCAGTGCTGTCGCCTTTACACTGCATCTCAGTGCCGCTCTCCATCCGCACCTTGACCATTCGAACGCGAGCGGCTTCCCCAGTCCATCTTCTCCCAGGTGGACCCCATTTATAGTCTTTACTCTTGCATTGCGCCCTCTTTCCACCTGTGCCCCTGTCATCTTGTCACATGGGCATCCACCCCCTCAGGCTGGAGGAGGGCGATGGAGTAGGCCCACAGACCCTCCGCGAACTGCACGTCCCCGGGGCTGCTCGCCGCCTTTCACCCGGCCAACATGGGTGGGCTCTGTGCTGCCTCAGACTCGGTCCTCAGAACTAGGGGTCCCCGATGAGCCTCTGCCACTGTGGAGTCAGACCACAGATTTTTTAAAAATGAATAGTAAACAAATTGACACATACAATCCTTTTAGGTAGCCATACCTGCTATGAAGGAAATATAACCGTGATTTGAAGGCAAGTGGCTTGGAGTTGCGTAGACCGTTAGATTGGAGGGTGGGGGCAGGCCTTTGTGAAGAGGCAACCTGTATACTGAGGCCAGAAGGTACAAAACATGTGAAGTCCAGGGAAGGGTGTTCCTGGCAGGAGGTACAGCAAGGTCAAAGGCCGCAGGGCAGGAGTGAGGTTGGGCTGTCACAAAACGGAAAGGCAGCCTCTGAACCTCGAGTGTAGTAAGCAGGGGGAGAATGGTAAGCAGTGAGGTCAGACACGGGGACAGGGGCCATCAGCTCTCCAACCACCATGCCATCCGTCTCTGTCATCGCTCACTGTATCCGTTTCCTGTGGGTTCTGCGACAAATCCCACCGACTTGATGGCTTAAAACAACACACACTTGTTCTCTCACAGTTCTGGAGGTCTTACATCTGGAAGCTCTAAAAAAGAATCTGCTCCCCGCCTTTCCAGCTTCTAGCGCTGCACTCTGGCCCTTCTTGGCTCCTGACCTCTCCCTCCATCTTTAAAGCCAGCATCTTGCTTCCATTGTCACATGACCTTCCTCTTTGGTAGGAAAGCACTCTGCCTTCTCTTAGAGGGACACTTCCCATTGCATTTAGAGACCGGCCACATGATCCAGGATAACCTCCCCATTTTCAAGATCCTTAAACACGCCACAAAAACCCTTTTTCCATGTGAAGTTACGCATTATCCCAGGGATTAGGACCTGATGCTCTGGGGCCACTGTCTTCCAGCAAGCCCCACTGAACAGTGTCATGGCCAGCCCATCGCCATCAAAGTGAGGCCTCGCTGGACTGTTCTAGTGACCTTGCTTCCAGTCCTTACCCTTTGCCACTCACCAGCTACATGCTTTAGGGAAGCCCCTTGTCCTCTTGGACCTTAGTTCCCCCACTGCAAAAATGGTATTTGGGTCAGATGAGTCCTAAGATTCCTTCCAGAACAACCAGGTTCCTCCTGAAAGTCAGTGGTGGCCACCCTCATCACAGGCCAAGCAACTGACCGGCGCCCCTACTCTCAAGCCACACCGGGGCGGTTTCCCGCGCCATTTGACTTCTCTGGCACACAGCTCCAGGGGGCGGAACTCGAACATCCCTTTAGGTCAGAGGTCACCCAATTCTCCCACGGGTTTTATTTGGCCTGCAGAGTTTTCTGAAAAAGTGAAATTGTGGCGAAATAGAAGGATCAAGAGATACCACATAAAAACTGATGTCTAGCCTTTTAAAAAAGGAAGAAAATATCAGAAGAGCTATTAGCACACGTCCTCACCCAAGCGGGGCAGCCAGCCTCAGGTGCTGGCCGGGGCTGTCACGGGCCCTCCAGTTTCCCAGGATCCAAACTCAGCCCCACCTACCCAGCCTGGCCCTGTGGACGCTGGAGTTTGAGAATCCTGACCAGCTTGTGTGATGTGAGATATTAGAGTCATGACTATTCCTGATCTCAGAGGCCCTCACCTCACTTCCCAGCTACAGCTTTTGCCGCGAATTTCTCTCAAAGGCACTCTTTTCTCTTTATGGGGACCGTTTTCTCTTCTAGCATGATGCAGTCTTGGAGAAAAGCTTTGCACATACCCCAGACCCAGTTTCCGCAGTCCCCAGGCCTCCCTGCTTTAATACAGCTCCCAGCATCCACGACCAGGTGGAGGCAGAAACCAAAGGCTGTTGGTGTGTGGAGGGGAGAAGGGGGGGGTCAGAGCGAGCGCAGCGTCTGCTGAGAGATGCAGGCGGGGCTTCCTGCCAGGGCCAGCTGCTCCTCAGCGGCCTGCTTGCCTGGTTGGGCCAGAGCCGGTGGCCCCCACCTGCAGGCTGCGCCCTGCACACAGGCCTGGCCCACCTGTTCCCCCTCCGGGGTTTTCGGGGTCAGCACGGGGCCAACCAACACTCACACGAACTTTCTGTGGAGCCAGGCCCAGAACCCCCTACCCAGCCCCATTGTGTGAGAGGTCAGGGGGTCCTAGCTCCCAGGGAGCCTTGGTTAGAAGGATTTGGCAAAGGTTCTCGGAAGGTTTAGAGATGCTAGACTGCCTTTTGGCATGGGTATGGTCACCCAGCTAGCAAAGCGGAAGAAAAATGGGTTGGGTGTAGTCATTGCCAGGAAGCACAGAAAACGCGCTCGCCTGGTGGAGACTGAGTGAATGGCAGAGCAGGGAGCAATGGGAGGTGGGAGTCCGGGAGGGAGGCCAAGAAGCCCCAGACTCCTGAGGAGCAAGCCGTGACAGCTCAGAAGGGGTCTGAGTGCAGACGTCCCTGCGCCTGTCCCCCGGCCCCCAGGGCAGATGCCCCCTTCCCAGGCAGGAGCCACGCACGCCTTCATTTCTGTCTTCAGAGATGGGAAAACTTGATGCGGCACTGTCCACTGCTATAGTCACTAGGCTATAGCACTAGGCGCATGTAGCAATTTAAACTGAGTCACAGCTAAACAGAACCAAATGTTCAGTTCCTTACTGACAATAGCCACATGTCAAGCACTCAGTTGCCGCGTGCTCCCAGTGGCTGCGATACCAGACATCACAGCTGCGGAAAGTGGCCTTTGGGGCAGGAAGCCCTGCTAGCCCGCGCCGGCTTGCAGGAATCTTGACTGTTGCCTGCAGAAGTAGCCCTTTCCTTCCTCTGTGTCTGTCTGATCAACCCTTGAGCAAATGAGTGGTAAGAGCGATGACAGCAGGTACCACAAAGCTAAGTGCTCTAAGCCTGACCTCGTTGAACCATGGCAACAACCCCGCAGACAAGGCACCATTATTAACCCTACTTTGGAAATGGACAAACAGAATTAGAAAGGTTAAGTATCCAAAATACCTGGCATTGCACAGCTTATAACCAGCAAAGCCAAGCGTTGAACCCAGTTTCATCCAGTCCATAGTTGGTGCTCATAACTCGCAGGCTACACTGCTCGGAGAAACCCATCAAGCAGCCAGGTCCCAGGGTGAGCAAATCTGTAACAATAAGCCAGATATTTCCCTCAGACCTGCTTATCACTGACAGACTGGGGGTTGGGAATTTACCTAAATCTACTTCTCATGTTGCCCCTGAGTGAATGGAAGCAAAATAGCTCAACCTGCTAGTTCCCCCGGTGCCATATTAAAAATATCCTTCCCCTGCTGATCACACGGGACTCTTAAATAAATTTGTGTTGACAAAACACTTCAAAAGCGTTATTTAAACAAAGTTATTAAAGGCTTATTTTTACAAAAGGCGGATAAAAGCAGTCCTCTCCATGTCGATTCACGCAAGCCAAGCCATGCGAGCCGTTTCCGAGTTGCCTAGGTAATTGTACCCTGTGATTTTTGTAGGCTGCACTCGTGCTACAAGAGAAGTTGGATTACTTGCTCTTCCACCTCTGGCTTACTGTGAGCACCCTGACTCCTTTTTCCTGTCTGTCCTTTTAAAAAAGAAAGGACCCAGGCGGGGCACCAGTCCGACGTAGTTTGAAGCCCCGGCTCCGCTGCGTGCGTATGGGGCGGGCGGCCTGGGAAACTTACCTAAGCTCCCCGGGCTCGTTTTCCACATCTGTAAAACTGAGCCTTCAATCTCCACTGAGATTAAATGAAATAACTTCGGTGCAAGTACCTGGTACATTACAGACGTTCAGACAATGTTAACCCTGTCCCTTCGCTGCTGAATACCCACTTACGGTCATGCGGTCTCATGGAATTCAGGATTTCAGAGCTGGGAGGGAGCTGAGGGGCATTTCGAGGAGCCCTCTCAACAGACAGACGCTTCCTCTGTTTATCACCGCATAGGTAAACAATTGACTGGGGTTCAGTAATCAGGAACCAGTCCCATTGTGTTTTGGTGACATTTTAAAGGGGGTAAAGCAGTGTGTTCTCTCTGACGATTGCAGACCTCTCCAAAAGGAAGAGCGGAAGTGGCTTTGACGTGGGCCACCAGAACTATGCGAGACGCCGCACAGAGCGGGGTCTGGCTGGACCCCAGTGAGCAGCTGGAGCGGGGGCTCGGGCTGTGCGCTCACTTGGGCCCCAGCTTCTGATTCATCCCAAATGGCGGCTGGCACCAGATTGCCGGTCAGGGTGAATTATGGAGCCAGGACCAGGAGTCCCCAGAGCTGGGAACATGGAACAGAGGGCTAGACAAGGGCCAGCCTGTACGCCTGGGACCAAAACCAAGACGGGCCACAGAGCAGGCCACGGTGTCCAACGCCAGGGAGGAGACAGATGCCACAGTCAGAGCAAAGCTGGGTGGGAGGGTTGAAAAGAAGCAGGTTGTCAGGAAGCAGGAGGGCAACACTCAGGAGAGGAAGGACAGGTCTGGATTTTGGTACAAAGTCAGTCCCCTCCCGGCCCTGATTTCTCTCCATCTCAGAGGACGGCCGAGAGAGCCTCCTTCTGAACCTATTTGAGTGTAAAGCCTGGGAGCGAGGAGAGCTGTGTAGTGAGACGTTGGGCTCGAGAGGCAAGAGCAAGCCTGGGTTTGAATCCTAAATCTGCCATCGCTAGGTATGTCTCTTCGGCTGCTGATTTAGCCTCTCTGAGCCTGTTTCCTCGTCCAGCGAGGACTAATAACGGTCACGATGGAGGAGGATGGGGCTGACGGTGACGGTGACGGTGACGAGGGCCGCGGCGGTGGCGGTAACCCCGTGAGGACGACTCTGGTGCTAGTGATGGTTATGCTGAAAGAAGCTGGGTGGTGTGGATTATGATGGTGACGATGGTGAGGAGGAGGAGGATGGCAGATGATGGGCATGATGAGAGCCCCCCCTGGAGAACGGACGTGAAGAGTAGGCTGGAATGCTGTGCCCTTGAGCAGGTGGGCTTTGGTCTCACCTCTGCCACCTATAAAATGGCGATTAGTAGTCATATCTCATAGGGTTGTCACAAAGATTAAATGAACCGAAACGAGTGTAAGGCGCTCAGTAAACATTAGCTATCATTATTAAAATGACTGCTGTTGGTTTTTGGGCCCCCCTTGCCTTCAGAACCATTCCTGTTTATCCTGGACTGGTGTCCTCAGTCCTACCGTCAATGCCTGGGACTGACTTACCACCCTGGCACACAGGACTTGTTTCCTATTCCTCCTGCCTCCTCCTTCTTACATAATTAAGTCTGATGGCCCTTCCTTTGTCCAGGGATTCTGCAGGGAGTCTGCTGGGAGATGTGATTCCTCTGTTCCTAGATCTGTGAAATGTGGGAGGGGGTAAGGCGGAGCGAAAGCCGTGCCGTGGCCATCCTGAAACGGTGTCCACAAAGATGGTTATATGCCAGCCATCGGTGCCAACTTGGATGAGCTCACCTTTGAGTTTGACAATGGGGCTGCCTTCCCACCTGTCGCTGGCCGTCCTTCGATGCAGCAGGCTGGGCACCCCATGCTCTCTGGCTCCGAATAAAGTCACGTGGGTGAACCGTGGAGGTTCTGGACTGACTCAGGAATTCCCACCCAGGGAAACCAGCTGGTGAGGATAGCTGACCTCATGCTATCCTCACCTCTTCCCGACCTTGCCTTTCAGAGATCTGGACAGCAAGTCTCACAAACCTCTGCCCCTCGGCGTGGAGAATGACCGAGTCTTCAATGACCTGTGGGGGAAGGGAAACGTGCCTGTGGTCCTTAACAACCCGTATTCAGAGAAGGAGCAGGTAAGTGGGCGGAGACATGGGGAGGGCGTAGGGGCTGAGGCCGCGGGCACCTGTCCCGGGATGTGGATTTTGGCTTTGCTTTGTTTTGTTTTCTCTGTGAGCTTACCATTTCTCAAGTTTTAATTCCACTTCTACCTTAAAGGCACTCACATGTTTCTGAATTTAAAAGACATAAAATACCCACGGTGAAAAGTTTCACTCTCCCCCCAATTCCAGCCACACAGTTTCTCTCCCTACAGGGAAGCAATATTCATTATTCTCTTGGTCCTTTTAGCATAGACAGACAAATACACACACAGCATATTTTCACATTTTTTTACACAAATGAGAGTCCATTATATACATATTGTTTTGCACCTGGCTGTTTCACTTGCCACCGTATCTTGGCAATTACTCCTAATTAGTAGATGAAGAGTATCCTGGTTCTTTTTCACAGCTGCGTAATTTTCCACTGCCTGACTCTGCCATATTCGCTGAGGCAGCCTTCCAAAATGGATACTCTTATGTCACTGCCAGTATTTTGCTATGACATTGCTGTAAAGAGTGACATTGTTGGAATACCTTATTTGGCACATGGTCAGGCTTTGTAATGAAATCAATCCCTAGAAGTGGACTTGTTGGGGCAAAGGCCGTAATCACTTGTTCTTTGGGCAGAAATTGAGAAATGGCTCATGATGAAGGTTGTGCCACTGCTCCCGGCCGGGTGGGAGGTGGTTTCCCCATAGCCTCGCCAGCTCCGTGTATTATCACACTTTTCAATCTTTGCCATTTGTCAAGATGTAGGTTGGCAGCTGAGCAGGTATGGTTCTGAGAGTGGCTAGATTGGCCTAGAGAACAGCAGCGCCCCTTTTCTCCCCTGCCCAGGCAGGTAACAGATGGGATCAAAGCAGCCCTAGTGAGGTGTGTGACCCGCCTACCCCTCCTCCTCTGTGCAGCAGCAGCAGCGTACAGGCGGACTAACAAGCAGCGAGAGGTCACAACAGGGAGATGGTCCAGGTTGCTCAGCAGGTCATCTTCTTCCTTCCCAACACCTGCCCCAAGCCTTGGGTGGCACAGGCCAGGGTGGCAAGCTCTCTTCTGAAAACTGATCTGTGGCACCTCTTGCCACCAGCGCACCTAAGCAATGATGCAAAGTCTCTCTGCATAGCTCCACCAGGGAAGGTGGGACACTGCAGAGCCCTGTGGGGACTGCTTTCTTTCCGTAGCTGCCGACGGCTGGCCAGGAAGGTAGGAACACGAGGGATTCTGCAGTAGGCCAGACCCATGCGCCTGGCCAATTGCTCTGCCTTGGAATGACTTCTGGGAATGTTTGGAGGACAATTGTAGGTTCCTGTTATGCTGCCTCAAAAATCAAGGTCACATTGTGAGCACGAGGGGACTCTTAAGCATTAATGATTAAATAAACACAGTAAAATTTTCTTTATCTTCTGTTAATTGAAGATTAAGAGGCGTTGCCATGATGCAAACCCTCCCAAGACAAAGGATGGAAAAAGGCAGTCTCAGGCCAGATTCGGGCTGTAAACAACGATTTGTTAGAGCTACACTATCTTCTCCTAAGAGACAATTTCTATTTGAACTTTGAATTTATTGCCAATATTTCACAATTTTGTATGAATATCATATTTACAACTTCTCTTAAAAGTGTAGACAGTCTGAGCACGTTGAGCTTGTATTCTTATGGAGCAATAATCTCTTGGTCCGAATAGCAGCTGTTCCCTCTAGACAAGGCCCTCCGGCCTGCTACAGTCCCCACACTGCCTATCGTGTCCCTCGCGTTAAATCAGAGGAGAAGCAGAGGAGCCCTTGACCCCACCAGAAGGACCCTTAAAGTCCTGCTGAAATCTGAGCAATAGCAGGACGACAGCCATTTCCTTTCATGCTGTCCACCTTGGTTAGACAGTGACAGCTTGAAAAACATAACCTTGAACTTCAAGCCTGAGGAGTGGGCCTCAGTGCTGGGTACAGGGCAGGCATGGTTGGTAGGACCACTGGCCACCTTCGCAGGGCATCGTGGTGAAATGGTGAACACCTTAGTCTGTTTGAGCTGCTGTAGCAGAATAGCATAGACTGGGTGGCTTATACACAACAGGCATTAATTTCTCACAGTTCTGGAAGCTGGGAAGCCTAAGATCAAGGCGCCAACAGATTCAGCGTCTAATGCGAGCCTGCTTGCTGGTTCATAGATATACAGTCTTCTTGCTGTGTCCCCATATGGTGGAAGGGTCACATAGCTCTGTGGGGTCTCTTATATAAGGCGCCTAATTCCTTATCTTCATGACCTCATCACCTCCTGACTTCATGGCCTCTTCATACTATCACCTTGGGGATTAGGTTTCAACATATGAATTTTGGGAAGATATGTTCAATCTATAGCAATGAGGGAAAGGTGGTGAGGACTTGCCTAAGGGCCCCTCTAAAATGAAAATTCCCAGTCCTTGGGGAAGGAGAAAGTGTCCTGGAGAAAGGGGGAACGGCCAAGTCTTCCTGAGGTTAAGGCAGCCCGATGGCTTTCCACATGGGAGCTCCTAGATGCACACACAGCCCAGCAGTGCGGGGTTCCCAGTCGCTCCTGTATCCGCAAATCCTCAGCATAGTCCACGCGTCAAAAAACAGGTTCAAATCCGCCAACCAGTGAGATCATCTGGCTCCATGGTCTGAGGCTCCGTTTTCCAAGTGCCTCTCCAAAGTGGAGCGGGAAGGAGTGGAGACCTCAGCGCTGGGTTGGTTACAGTTGTGTCCCAGGCTAAGGAAGTGGCCCCATTCCGTCCTGTTAGACATCCCTATGGCCACGGGGCTCAGAAATGTTTCCCAGCCTGAGCAAGGACATAAAAAAGGCAGCGTCCTTCTTTCCGACCTGAGATGTGGATCGATTGTTGACACCACTCACAATAATCCTCTTAAGTGAAAATGCGACCCTGGCAAAATGATAGGAGAAGTGGCTGCCTGTCCTTTCTGCCTGCAAAACGTTAGGCCTGAATCAAGCCCTCTCGCTTTCTGTTCTTAATAAGCATCTACGTCCCTTGCCTGCCTGATTTCCTTTCCTGAGGGGTCGGGGTGGAACCATGCCCTGCTTGAGGGCAGAACATCTATTTTCAGATACTAATTAAGCATCAGTCCAGTCCTCAGTGGGTGCACAGAGGGTCTTGGGACTGGGGGAAATGAGATTTCCACACAGCGTTCTTCCCTCCTGCTCAGCCCGCTGCCCTTCTCTCCAGCCTCTTTCTGACAAAAGCAATCAGGTAGTCAGAGAGCTGACTTCCATTGAATTCCCCCACCCCACTCCCACCACCTCATCAGGAGCCTGGCGCCCCCTCACCCCTGGGGACACAGGCCTTGCCAGCTGCTTTCCAAACGTCAAAATCTGTTGAGAAGCTTTTCTCTGCTTCCAGGTAAGTGTCAGCATCACCCCACTCTCTGGAGAGCTCCTTATGAGGCAGCTGAGGAGTGTTTGTGGGTCTCCCATGTTCAGAGGCGCGTGGGCCCCTCTCTGCATGAGCACACACCCCCACTGGCTCACGAGTGCCGGCTTTGCTGAAATCCAGAAAGGGCGCAGCCAGACCCAGCGAAGCTGTGTCTGAATGAAGAAAAAACACACTGCCCTTCAGTGACAGCCCAGTGGGCCATAGGGCAACCTTCTAAGTCAGCCCTGACTCACTGCACATTAACGACGTGGCAATAAAAATAACAACTACACTGATAACAACACCGCCTTGTGGAGGTTGTGGCCATTCTAACCCTCCTTCTCACTCCCCCACAGCCCCGGGCCAAGCACTCAGCTCTGGGTCAGCCCAGGCTTAGCCTCTAACCCCTGGGGACCTTGGTCAGACCACTAGTGTCCACACTGAGCCTTCATTTCCCAGCAGGGTCTAACAGACTCGTCGAGTTGTGGGGCAGATGAAGTACAGTGATGTATGAGATGACAGCTTCACTTAGGACAAGAATAGCTCGTGTTTCTTGAGCCAGGTCAGGCACTGCGCTTAGCACTTGAGGTCTACAGCTTCGTTTCACCCCAGCCCAACCCAATGAGGTGCTATTATTGTCCCCACTTTATAGATGAGGCAACTGAGGCACAGAGAAAGGGGTTAGTAGCTCAATGAAGGTCACATGACTAGTACTTGCAGGAGATAGGACTTGAACCCAGGCCATGAAGCCGCGAAGTCCTCTCTTAACTCTATAGAATCTGGCCCAGAATAAGTGCTCCAAAAATGTGTGGTGGTGTTGTTTTTAGTTGGCTAATTATTATATCGCTAATTTATGTATAGATATATTACTAATTCTTGTATTGCTAATGTGAGGCACACTTCCTATTTTACCAATGGTGCTCTTGTGGTCCAGAAAGGGAAAGTGAGCACCCACTGAGTCTTGGTGACAGAGCCGCACCTCTGTCCCTTTACAGACACATCATGATCCTTGTTAACCATTCAAATCAGTGTAGCATATGTCACTCATGCCTCCTGGGGGTCAGGCTCTGGAAACACACAAAGCGCACAGCAGTGAGACCTGCGGTGGAAAGGTGGGCACTCTGAGGCCCGGATCCCATGCCCAGCCCTGTTGCCCGTGGGTTGTTAATTTGAGGATCGTGACCTCTTCTCTCAGAGCTTCAGTTTCCACATCTGAAACGTGGGTTCCCATGAGGAACCAATGAACTAGTGGATAGGCAATGGCCTCACCCAGGTTGGGTACCAAATAGGCATTCCCTAAATGTTACTCAAAATGCAATGAATTTGAACGTGATCTCTGCCCCAGGGAGTTCACAGCCGAGGCGCCCTCTTTCCATCAACTATGTGCCTCCAATCCAGGAACGTCCGCTCTTCAGACCAGCTTCTGCCATAGACACACACGGCAGTTATCACTGCGTGATGGCCGGGCTTCCTGGAATCCTGCACAGATGTTCCCCACCTGGCTGGCTTTAGCAAACTCCTTGGGCCCCCATCAGGGGGGTGCCTTGCAGCTCCAGTGGATAACTTCCTTCCCTAAGACTCATAGAAGCACTGGAGAAA